ATGACACTGTTATTCTTAGACTTGTCCTTCGCTCATTCAAAGACTTGTTCCCTCCTCATTCCTAACACAATGCACTGGACAGGTGTGTTGACCAACAGATTACCACTAAAGGAGAAATAGACAGATAATTAAGAGGGCAACAAGTTCTATGGAGCAGTTGCAACCTTGCATGTATTTAAATGTAACTTTTTGAAAATTCTACCAAACTTTTTTTTACACTGAATGAAATTCAGGCAGGCTACATATATACAGTGCTGCTTGAAAGTTTGTGAACCCTTTAGAATTTTCTATATTTCTGTGTAAATATGACCTAAAACATCATCAGATTTTCACACAAGTCCTGAAAGTAGATAAAGAGAACCCAGTTAAACAAATGAGACAAAAATATTATACTTGGTCATTTATTTATTGAGGAAAACGAACCAATATTACATATCTGTGAGTGGCAAAAGTGTGTGAACCTCTAGTATTAGCAGTTAACTTGAAGTTGAGTCAGGTGTTTTCAATCAACAGGGAGACAATCAGGTGTGAGTGGGCACCCTGTTTTATTTAAAGAGCAGGGATCTATCTAACTCTGATCTTTACAACACACGATTGTGGAAATGTATCATGGCACAGACAAAGGAGATTTGTGAGGACCTCAGAAAAAGAGTTGTTGATGCTCATCAGGCTGGAAAAGGTTTTAAAAAAAACATCTCTAAAGAGTTTGGACTCCACCAATCCACAGTCAGACAGGTTGTGGCTTTGAAAATGAGTGAGTTTATCTACTTTTAGGACTTGTGTGAAAATCTGATGATGTTTTAGGTCATATTTATGCAGAAATATAGAAAAAGGGTTCACAAACTTTCAAGCAGCACTGTCTAATGTACAGTGAATAGTCCATTGAGTTTTTCTTACGTCAAGTCTCCATTTGTGCTGGAAACAGTGAGAGAGGAACAGAATCTTTCAGCATAGGACCCATTCAGGTCAATCCTGCCAATCAGAGCACAGAGTCATCTAAAGCACAGTCTGGAATAATTACACAGAGTCATCTAAAGCACAGTAAGAAATGAACATTGAGCCAAGTAAAGCACCAGGAATAAAGAAAAAGTCACCAGCACAGTCAGTGCATACACTTACACACACACACACACACACAGAATGAGACATGGATAGATTGTGATCTTTGCTCTTACGTAATGCACTGCAGACTGGGGCAGGTCTGGATGAGGGAAAGGATCCTGACTGCCCAGTTTACAGTCAAGTCACTCATCTTCATTTTCACTTTCTTAAGACCAGAGACAGAGGGCAGAACAGACAGCAGAGCATCCATCTTCTCTTCAAAATCTTCACCACTGTGAGCAACAACCACATTCAATTATCAACTATCAAAATTCATGCACAAACACATACAGAAAAATACATCAGTAACATGAGTAAGAAAACAATTAATATGTATTAAAATGAGTAAAATACAAAAGGAGGTGTGGGATAGGTTAAAGAGGATCACTGGACACAAAAAATCAGGTTCAGCCGTGGAAGGGAGCCAGGAATGTGCAAACGAGCTAAACCGGTTCTTCAACAGGTTTGACTCACCATCCACACCTCAGCTGCTACCCTCCCCTCCTCATACCTCCCCCCTGCTACTGAGGACAACACAAGAGGCACCACAACCCTCCTCCCCTCCTCCTCCCCTACCAGGTGCCAGTCGTGAGATCACGACTGGCACCTTCCCCCAACACAGGATGCTTCTCACGCCACTGGACATCTTATTGACCCCTCCTCCTAAAGCCGATCCTCCCCCCACCAGCCCACTGATCACATCCAGCCAGGTGAGACGGGAGCTATCCAAACTCCGAATCAACAAAGCAATGGGTCCAGACAACATCAATCCCAGGGTGCTTAAGGCGTGTGCCAGACAGCTGGCAGGATTGTTCCAACATCTATTCAACCTCTCCGTGAGGCTGAAGAAGGTGCCCCAGCTGTGGAAGACCTCCTGCGTCGTTCCAGTGCCCAGGAAAGGATGCCCCACCACTCTCAACGACTACAGGCCTGTGGTACTGACGTCGCATGTCATGAAGACCTTTGAGAGACTGGTTCTGCGGCATCTTTGGCCCCTGGTGTGTGACTCTCTGGACCCTCTGCAATTCGCCTACCAGGCCCAAATCGGCGTGGACGACGCCATCATCTACCTGTTGCACAGGGCTTACTCACACCTGGAGAGGCCGGGAAGCACAGTGAGAGTCATGTTCTTTGATTTCTCCAGTGCGTTCAACACCATCCGGCCCCTCCTACTTGCAGAGAAGCTCTCTGCCATGCAGGTAGACCACGACACGGTGGCCTGGATTATGGACTACCTCACTAACAGGCCACAGTTTGTCCGGCTGCAAGGCAGCCTGTCAGATGTGGTGATGGGCAACATTGGCACACCCCAAGGAACCGTACTTTCTCCATTTCTTTTCACCATCTACACTTCTGACTTCCATTTCAACTCTGGAACGTGCCACCTCCAAAAGTTCTCTGATGACTCCACCATCGTGGGCTGCATCAGTGAGGATGAGGAGTACAGAGTTGTGGTAGAGAGCCTCACCAGATGGTGCAGGGAAAATCACCTCCAGCTCAACATCAGCAAGACCAAGGAGCTGGTTGTGGACTTCCGTCAGAGCAGGAAGCCCCCAACCCCTATCGCCATCCAGGAGGAGGAAATAGAGATGGTGGACTCGTACAGGTTCCTGGGTGTGCAAATAAACAATAAACTGGACTGGACGGACAACACCGAGGCCCTCTATAGGAAAGGACAGAGCAGATTGTTCTTCCTTAGGAGGCTACGCTCCTTTGACAAGTGCAGCAGATTACTGTAGATGTTCTACCAGTCTGTAGTAGCTAGCACACTATTCTTTGCTGTGATGTACTGGGGAGGTGCCATCAAGGCTGGGGAGACCAACAGACTAAACAAGCTGGTGAGGAAGGCCAGCTCTGTTGTTGTTCTAAAACTGGACAGTCTGGAGACAGTGGTGGAGAGGAGGATGAGGGACAAAATCAGGACCATCCTGGGCAACCCCTCCCATCCCCTCTATGATGAGCTGTGGCAGATGGGGAGCACCTTCAGCCACAGGCTCATCTTCCCCAAGTGCAAGACAGAACAATTCAGGTGCTCCTTTGTGCCGACAGCCATCAGGCTGTACAACAACACCTGAGACTCCTCGCAACCTTCCTTCCAGACCGGATTGATTCATTTATTTATATTTATAAACACACCCTACCTCAACCCTTTACCTCATCCGGACACCCTGTGACTTAGTCTACATACTTTACCTCGGACACTTAATTACCTAACACTGAAACACACTAAATACCAAACCCCTCTGGTCAATTGTCCCACTGCTCTTACCATGCCTATTTGCACTACATGTACCGTTTGGACACTGTAAATACCCAAAAAACCTGTCCTGCTCTTCTGTTTACCAACAGTTATCAGAGCTCTTTGCTCCTTTTGCACTATATGTACAGTTTTCGTGCCAATATTCTCACCACTATATATGTACATATTTTTGTCTGCACTACAGTATATTATATATATATTTATTGTATTGTATCTTTATTTTTATCTTGTATTTTTTTATTCACACTTCCTCATCTGTCCTTTTGTCTTTCTGCTGCTGTTAACACCCAAATTACCCCACCTGGGGATTAATAAAGTGTTATCTTATCTCTCTCTCTTAGATGAAATGTCTGTGCATGTAGTTAATAAAAGACAGAAAGGGAGAGAGAGAAAAAGAGAGAAAACCAAAAATATTACATTTCTGTCATTGGCTTGTCTTCACACTTGTAGAGCATCTGGACGAAGCTTTTCCAGCTGATGTTGAATAGCTCTGACTGTGGACCAGTAAGACAGAACTCAGAGAGTGACAGTGGAGTTGGTGAGTTGGATATTCTGAAGAGTGGATTTTTCAAGTCCTGAGCTTTGAATGACAACCTGAAACCCAGACAGAGACACACACAGTTACATTTACACATCTACAGAATGAGTAAAATCTCACAGCATAGACATTACACCATCCTCAGCATGTCCACGTGTGCATTAGAGACTTCATATACACTACACAGTTATCATGTGTTTATATTAAAAGCAGTGGTTTTTGATTGGCAGCCTGCTGGCCAGACCCAACTCATATTTATGTGCAAAAAGTTATATAATAAGAAGGCGGCTTGTTTGCATAGCACGTTTTTCAACATACAGTTTGCAAACTCATTTCCAGAGAATGGTCTTTTTTATGGCTAGTTTTTTGGTAAAGAATAAGAACAGTTAAACAGCTTAATTCAAGTCAGTTTTTTGAGTCCAGTCTTTCAGCCATTATTTGATAATGGGTTGCTGCAGCTGTGCCTGAAACTCCTGTTCAGTTTTATGACTGTCTGTCACACTGAAGTGAAATGATATGAGCAAGTGCATCATATGTAACTGTATTCCAAATTTTCATTTTCAGATTGAATTTCATATTGGCTTAATTCTTCAGGCTGAGTTTCATATTGGCTTAATATTGGTTTTCATTTTGTCAGTCTGAAAGTTAAACCCTTACAGAATAACAATAAATATTTGATGTTCCTCACAGACAGGCATCTTGACTTTCAACAAATTACTATATTGCATTCCTGCCTGGCCTGTTATTACGTTCACAAATGAATGTACTGCAAAGAAAATTAATTGAAAATCCCAGTATACACACTATACAGTTATAACGTTTGGGTTGCATACTTTTTTACAAAACATGCTAAGTGCAGTTTTTAATGTAGATCACTCACTCACTCACTCACTCATCCTAATCAGGGTCGCGGGTGATGCTGCCTATCCCAGCGCTCATAGGCCGAAAGGTTGCCAGTCCATCGCAGGGCACACACAAACACACATTCACACCTAAGGGCAATTTAGTGTCTCCAATTCACCTAACCTGCATGTCTTTGGACAGTGGGAGGAAACCCACGCGCACACGGGGAGAACATGCAAACTCCATACAGAAAGGACCCGGCCCAGCCGGGGAATCGAACCCAGGACTTTCTTGCTGTGAGGCAACAGCGCTACCCACTGCGCCACCGTGCGGCTAATGTAGATCAGATGTTTATAATTCCCAAGCACAAAGATGGAATAAATCTTAAACATATACTTACATGAGGTTTTCATCTGCTTGTGACCCACTGAGAGACCAGGAGATACCCCGATCATGAAACTCTGACCCAACACATCCAACACTGCCAATCAGAGCACAGTGTCACAGACTCAACTATACGCAGTCAGTAATGAACCCGGAGGCAACTTAACACAGTCAGTAATGAACACAGAGTCAACACAGTCAATATGAACACAAAGTCAACAAAAGCACAGTCACTAATGAACACAGTGTCAGCAAAAGTGCAGAATGTTCAACTTAAGTCCGCCTTTTTCTCAAAAGGAGTTTAAATTTAATTTCATTTAATTTCAAAAATTAAATTTGAATTACATTAATGACATACAATGTTTTAGGGTAAATTACTTGTTTACTGAACCAAAATGTTATTGCTTAAAGCTGTTGTTGGCATTTTGTTGGCATAAAGCTGTTGTTGTTGTTGGCTGTTGCAGGCATTTTAATTTTATGTTCCACAAAATACAGCTATAGAAAACAATCATATGATTTAAATTTACAGAAAACATGTGCACACACACACGCGCACATCTCCACACACCACCAAGAATAACCTGACAGCACTCACAGGCCTTGCTCTTACCTGATGTGTTTCAAATTGGGGAAGACCTGGAGGTGGGGGAGGATTTTGGTAGTCCAGCTCTCAGTCAGGTATGCCACTTCCAGTTTCACATACATCAAATCAGGTTCAGAGATCAGGAAAGACAACAGAGCCTTCAGATTCTCATCAAACCCTGGACATCTGAAATATATGAACATGTATAAATATCAAAACAAGCACTCAAACTCTTAAAAAAGTAGAGAGTGTGTGTGTGTGTGTGTGTGTGTGTGTGTGTGTGTGTGTGTGTGTGTGTTTGCTGTTTGCAAAGTTTGGTGTCTTGTGGAATGTTTGAGCCCTTACATTTCTGTTAAGTCTTTAATCTTGTGAAAGATTTGGAGGAAGTTTGTCCAGTTAACATTAGTTATCTTTGAGTGTGGAAAGATGACACTGATTCCATAGATTAGTGTTCCACTCCTTGGCTTTGACCTTTCTGAGGTTCTTTCACTCCGGCTGTATTCCTCAACAGACACCCTGAAACCCGTTCAGAGACACACTCAGTTACATGTACACAATAACTGATTCACTTCATGAAAATTCACATCATCTTTAGAATATTTCTGTATATGAATGAATATATATCATATAATAAGTATTGTATTGCAGTGGATTTTTTTTTACATTGAGTAATAAACATGTCACTTTTAGCAAAGTTACACTGAAAGAGTTATTTATCAAATATGTCTTACATGACGCCGCTAACTGTATTTGATGTACGAAGGCATGAGCAGAGACTCTCTTCATGACTGTTCTCATTCACCTGAACACTGTCAATCAGAGCACAGAGTCAACTAAACACACTGTAATGAACACAGTCAACTAAACACAGTCAGTAATGAACACAGAGTCAAATTAACACAGTCAGTAATGAACACAGAGTCAACTAAACACAGTCAGTAACGAACACAGTCAACTAAACACAGTCAGTAATGAACACAGAGTCAAATTAACACAGTCAGTAATGAACACAGAGTCAGTTAAACGCAGTCAGTTATGAACACAGAGTCATTTAAACACAGTCAGTAACTGTCGGGAGAGTACCATGCATTTTATGGCTATTTGCCCTGGTCTGGGTTTTCTAGGATTCCTTTCCCTACTCAGGACCAGATCAAGCGCAGATAAGATAAGTCAACAAATACACACACATAGCAGGCAAGAGGGCAAATGGTCTACCACCATAAATACCCCAAAATCAGTGACCACGGATCACATACCTACTTAAAATAAGCAGCCATCTCCCCTTCCTGAGCACAATCAGCGTGTGTGTGTGTGTGTGTGTGTGTGTGTTTCTTTGTGTGTACCTATACGTTCGGATCATTTACCCTTTGTACCCCACAGTAACTGTACTCTCATGTCATGGAAAAATGTGGAAAACCCAATGTTGTGTGATAACACATGTATTTCTCAATATAGCAGCAAAACCACCATTTTACCAGTTCCTCTCAGCTAACTCTCTTCTCTCAACCCATGCCTATTAATGTTTGGTGTCATTGTGATGCTCATGAAGAGCTGAATGCAAAGATGAGAATCTTGAAAATATATCTGGTATTTCCAGATGTTTGGATCGAAAGGACAAAATTAAGTCCTGGAGAAACTTCCAGGCACTCCCCAACCATAAAATTAATCATACGTGGGTCAGGGAGGTGGAGAGAGCTTCTTCTTAAGTCAGGCCTAGAACAGGCCTCTTAGCTCAGTCTTTTGTCGTTGATCAGTTTTTGCCACGGTTCAGTTCCTTGCCTACGCTCAGTCATCCGTTCAGTCATCCAGTCTGTGGCTCAGTTTATCTTGCGACTTTTTGCATTTTTCCTTTTGGAGTTTTGCTGCTATCGTGAGTGGTTCCTGTGTTCTTCCTTGGAAGAGGTAAACAATTGGCTTGGGTAATTTTCTCTGCACGCATTCAGTCACCATTCTGTGATCCATCCATGTTCTTGCTTGTTAATGTCTTTATGTAAGTTAGTGTCTGTTAAGGTAGTGGACCAGGTCTGTAGCCCAGACTTTGAATTTTGTCTTGTCTTCGTGTAACTGCTTAATAAACCTCTTTAATTTATTCCAGTTGTGATTCTATATTTCTGGCAAAGGTTGATCCACCAGACTGCTCATCTCCTATCAACAAATTCGGTTATTTAATTGATAATTAAGATCTTTGATAATAATTATTAAATTAAATCATTTTTATTATTATTTTACATGTTGGTTAAGTGAGGAGTTTTAGTAATTGACATCATTTGTGTCTGGTATTCAGAGTGCCGGACGATAAACAAGGGCGTTAATTTCTAAGACCGCTGGGTTCAGACCATTGAATTTTTAATAAATCCTCACTTCCCCGACAGTAACCAACACAGAATCAAATTAACATATTCAGTAATGAACACAGAGTCAACTAAATCGTCAGTGATGAACACAGAGTCAACTAAAAAACAATCATTAATGAACACAGAGCCAACTAAAGCACAGTTTTTTTTTTACCTTATACTTCCTGTAATCTTGCTATTATGAAAATGGTTCATAAGAATAATAGCAGTGTTGGTAGTGATGGTCTTCACGGTGAGATAAACTTCACCCACAGACCTCTGTTTGCTGAGAGAGTTAAGGACCTTCTGCACCCCTTGATCTGACAGAAGACTGTTCGTCAAACTAGACAGGATAAACAAACAAAAGCAGAGTATCAGCTCTCTCTCACACACACACACACACACACACACACACACACACACACACACTCACTCATTCATCCACCACATGCACACATACACACACTCTTACAGAAACTTTCAAAATTGTAGAACCAACCACAGTTATGACACCAGTGTAGTATTGGAATGGCATAAACAGTTAATACCTCAGATTGTTCAGTTTCTTTTCTTCCCCCAGAGCTGAGATCAGAAGTCCAACATCATCATCCGAGAAGTCCCTCAAATCCAACCTTCAAAATCAAAACCTCATCACTGCATGAACAAATCATTTTCAATTTCACAACCTACCAGTTATCAGTATACTAATCATTTAAGATAAGTTTGTAAGATGATAAGGGACAAAACAAAAGAAAGGTTATTATGATTGTTCGCATCTAGTCAAAGTTAAAATAAGTAAGGTGTAGATATGTGTGGTGACGTCTGGCAAATTGTGAAATCTCTAGAGGTTTGAACCTCTAGGCAGGTGTGAATCGTGATGATGTGTTAAAGAAAGGTCACTTCACTCTGTACAGAGGTACTCACTCTAACTCCTCACTCCTGCTCACTGCAGGCTGAAGAATCTTCAGTGTCTCTGGTGTCAAACTGCAGTCTGTGAGATTCAGGCTTTTGATGTGTGAACAGCACTGCAAGCAATACAGCAGCACCCAACAGTCTGTCCTTCTCAGGGCACCATAAGACACTTTGATGCTCTCCAACCTCTCCATTGCCTCCCTCACAAAGTCCTCTTCATGGAGCTCATAAAGGCAGTGGAAGTAGAACAATTCAATAGAATTAGTAGGATTATACTTTTTTTTCCCCGAAATGACTTGAAGGACCCATTCTTCTAGCTGGGCTCGAACGGTGGGAGAAACAGACAAGCTGTGTGTCTCCATTAGAGAATTGTTCACTTCCTTATTGGACAGACCGAAGAGAAAATGGATCACTGGCGAACGATACAGTCCTGGTTTTTTAATCAGGTCTGTGACATCCTCCTGGGACTCCTCTTCATTCAGGACATAGTGAAGAGCAGTGAAGAACTCCTGAAAACTGAGATGCATGAAACTGAACATTGTCTCCTGACGGATTCTTCTCTTCAAGAGAAACTTACACAGGAATGGATTACTGGTAGGATCTGAGACTGTCTCAGACACACTCTTCTTATCAAACAGGACTTGCTGTTCCATCGTCCCTCTCTCTGCCAGCTGGCCCAGACTCCTCAGCAGGCTGGGGACAGACTGACTCAAACCCTGGCAGTGGTGCTCCAGCAGAGTGGACACAAAGTCAACATATATGGAGGTGGTTGTATCCAAATAATTTAAAGTCCTTTTGTCATCTTTGTGTCGCTCCCTTAAAACTGTGCAGATGATCCAGCAGATCACAGGGATTGAGCAGGCAGTGTAGAGGGTTTCATTTGTCTTCACAAGCTCATATACCTGTGTGTGTAATAGCTGATCATCTTTAAAGAACTTTTGAAAGTATTCCTCCACCCCCCTCTCAGAGAAGCCCATAATCTCTGTGAAACGCTGAGGTTGTTTGAGCAGACTGCTCAGTGTGTCTGTAGCTGTAGACCTGGTGGTGACCAGCAGGAAGGACTCAGGCAGCAGGCGTCCACTCAGCAGGGCTTTCAGAGTGGACTCAGGTGAGGCTGGAG